GGGAACTACCGGCAGGTATTAACTCAGTTGTGGCCATCAAATCCTACACTGGGTATAACCAAGATGATTCTGTCACCATGAATTGTTTGGCTGTAGACCAAGGCTTTTTCAGGTCTGTTTTCTATCGCTCATACAAAGATCAAGAGTCTAAAAAAGGATTTAACCAAGAAGTTTTTGAGAAACCTACACATGAAACGTGGCAGGGTATGAGCCACGCCATTTACGACAAGCTGGATGATAATGGCTTGATAGCTCCAGGGGTCCGTGTTATCAGGAGATGATGTTATCATAGGCAAAATGGTCACCTTGCCTGAGAATGAGGATGAACTGGAGAACACTAACAGGCACTACAGCAAGATAGAGATTGTAGCACTTTTCTCAGGACCAGCGAGACAGGTATTGTGGATCAGGTTATGGTAACTCTCAAACAGGAAGGATATAAATTTTGTAAAATAAGAGTATGCTCTGTAAGAATTCCACAGATTGGAGACAAATTTGTTAGTCGGCATGGTCAGAAGGGGACTTGTGGTATTCAGTACAGACAAGAGGATATGCCTTTCACTCTCGAAAGAATTACCCCTGATATCATCATAAATCCCCACACCATCCCCTCTCATATGACCATTGGTCACTTGATCAAATGTCTTCAAGGGAAGGTCTCAGCTAACAAGGCTGAAATCGGTTATGCCACTCCGTTTAATGACGCTGTGAATGTGCAGAAGATCTCTAATCTTCTCTCAGACTATGGCTACTATCTCAGAGGAAATGAGGTCCTCTACAATGGGTTCACCGGTCAAAAAAAATTACATCACAGATTTTCATTGGCGCCACTTACTACCAGTGCTTGAAGCATATGGTGGCTGACAAAATTCATTCTCGGGCTAGGGGACCTATTCAGATCCTTAATCGACAGCCCATGGAGGGGAGATCTCATGATGGTGGCCTGCGTTTTGGTGAAAGGGAACGAGATTGTCAGATTGCCCATGGAGCAGCACAGTTTTTACGAGAAAGGTTGTTTGAGGCTTCAGACCCCTATCAGGTCCATGTCTGCAATCTCTGTGGAATTATGGAGATCACTAACACCAGAACTCACACGTACGAAGGCAGCGACTGCCACAATAAAACCCAGATTTCTTTAGTGTGAATGCCTTATGCATGCAAGCAGTTGTTTCAGGAATTTTTATCTATGAGCATTGCATCTCAAATGATGGGTGTTTAGCACTTTTAAAAGATTCTCAACAAGATACTTGTCTGTACCTTGTTTCTGTGACACAGCTTTGAAAAAAAAATGACACAATATGATTTCAGTCCCCAGCACCCCCCAAAAAGACATTATGTACTGTTTTGATAAAAAGCATTTTGTTTAATGATATGCATGCTTTTTCCTTCTGTAAATAGATAATAAATTTTTGTAGATAGTAAAAAAAACCTCTATGCTATTTTTATGTGCCATAGAAGTTATTATACCAAATAGAATTAATAGAATTTCACTGTATATTTTTTAAAGGAAAAATATTCTCCAGGGGGAAAAAAGCACATATAGTACTGATAAGGCAAATAAACCTCTTTTATGCATGGAAAACTTGTAAGTATATGCATCAATCTACATGGAAAACTTATTTTTCAGTAAGTATGATTTAATCTTAGTCATTGATGATAGGAACTGAATACAAAACAATTTTAAAATCTTATCTTTGTAGGACATGGTGACACACACCTGTAATCGCAACACTTAGAAGGCTGAGGCAAGAAGATTGAAAATTTTAGGCTACATAACAAGACTGTTTCAAAACAAAACAAAATCCTATCCTTGCTCTCAATGAGGACACAACTCATCTTAAGAGTAGTTTGATATATTAAAGAAAATAACAATACAACCTGATGCTAGTATTTAATGGCTAAACTATGTCATATAGATAACTATAATCATAGAAATATTTAGGGTCAATCTACAGTAAAAAAAAAACAAAAAACAAGGTAAGAAGACCATTTACTATGTGCTATGAAAAATTTTATAAAACAGCCATAGTACAACACCACTTCAGGCTCTATGTGCTAAAAAAAAAAAAAAAAAAAAAAACCACTCTTAGAAACCAAAAACATAACCCTGGAGAAAAGACAGCCTCTTTAATAAATAGTTCTGGGAAAACTGGCATTCCACATGCAGAAGACTAGACCCGTATTTCTTACTATGTATTAAATTAAACTCAGAATGGATTGAAATATTAAATGATGGATCAAAATATTAAAAGAGAAACAATCTGCTGGAAGATAAAATAGGTAAAACTACAGAAGACACAGGTATAGGCAAGGACTTTCTGAACAGAACCCCAATTATATAAGAAATAACATCAAGAATCAACAAATGGGGTCCAGGGATTTAGCTCAGTGGTTTCGCCACCTACTGCACAAGCACAAGGACCCGAGTTCGATCCCCAGTACCAAAGAAAAAAAAAAGTTAAAAACCTTCTGCATAGCAAAGGAAACAACGAACATAGTGAACAGACAACCTACAGCATGGGAAAAAGGTTTTGTCAGCTACTCTTCAGAGGACTAACATCTACAATACCTAAAGAACTTAAAAAAAATTAGATCCCCCAAAATAAAAGACCCATCTCAGTTACTTTTCTCTCATTGCTGAGACAAAACACCCAACACTCAAAGTTAGAGGAGAAAAGGTTTATTTAGCTCACAGTTTATACAGGTTTCAGTCCATAATTGGCTGGCTCCAAGGAAGGGTGGCACATGGCAGAGAGGTGTCACAGAGGAGAAACAGCTCACAATGCCCACAAGGTAGCAAAAACAAGGAACCTTAACAATGTCTTTCAGCCCCTTTCATCTTATTCAGACTACTTAGGGCGGGGTGCCTCGGGCCTAACCCCACCATGAATCAATCACGCAGTCTAGATTCAGCCATCTCTGAAAAAGCATGAGGCTGGGGGGGGGGGGCGCACATCTAAACACAAGCTATAACAAGACCCAATCAAAAAATGGGCAAGTGAAATGAGCAGACATTTAACAGAAGAACTACAAATGGCCACTAACTATACGAAAAAATGTTTAACATCCCTGACCATTAAAGAAATGTAAATGGGCTGGGAATGTAGCTCAGTGGTGCGGAGCCTGCCTAGCAAGCGCAATGTCCTGAGTTCAATCCCCAGTACCGCAAAAAAAAAAAAAAGTAAATTAAAACAACAGTGAACTATCATCTTACTCCAGAAAGAATGGCCATTATCAAGAAATCAAATAATAAACACTGGAAAGCCTGTACGGGGAAAAGGAATCCTTCTACATTGTTGGTAGGAATGTAAACTAGTACAGCCACTATGGAAGTCAGTATGGAGATTCCTCAAAAAACTAAAACTAGAAATTCCATTTGACCTAGCTATTCCCCTTCTAGGTATCTTCTTGAAAAGTTAAAGACATCAAATTACAAAATGACACATGCATACCCATGTTTATACCAGCACAATTCATAACAGCTAAATCTTTGGAAACATCCTGCATAGCCATCAATAGATGAATGGATAAAGAAAGCATAGGTATTTACATACAATGGAGTATTACTCTGCTGTAAAGAAGAATAAACTTGACTCATCTGTAGGAAAATGAATGCTCCCTGAGACCATAATGTTAAGTGAAATAAATCAGACACACAAGCTTAAATTCCACATGGTTTCTCTTACATGAGAAACCCAAAATAGAAAAGAGCAAAATAAAAGATAACAGGAAGTAGGGAGATAGATCGTTTGCAAAAGAGAAAGGGACCAAGAGATGGAGGGTGGGAGAGGTTGAAAAAAGAATTAAGATATGTCTTGAACATGTACCAACTCCCCATGAGAAATGCAATCATTATGTATTACATACCAGAAAAAATAAAAATTGAAAAAATATTTAAAAGTCCTTGTAGAATAACTGTCTTGCAATAATGCAGAATTAAAGAGAAATGGGCAACAAGGTCTAACTCTATCATGTATATGTCAACTCAATGAATTATCTGCAGAATCAGAGAGCTTAAACTGAACCAATTCTCCCACACTTCATATCAATAAACTTCATTATGAATAAGGAAGTGGTAAGTACAATTTCAACATACCCACAATTAGTTTTCAAATAGACCTTCAATGTAGTTAAAAGGCACACTGAAAACTATGTCTTTAAGAAGTCCTAATCAAGGGCCGGGGATTTAGCTCAGTGGCTCCATCGCTTGCCTTGCAAGCGCAAGGACCCGAGTTCGATCTCTGGTACCAAAAAAACAACAACAAAAAAAAAAAAAAAAGAAAAGAAGTGCTAATCAGATGGTTGACGAAACTCAGTCAGTAGCAGAGCTCACACTCAGTATGCACAAGGCACTGGGTTCCAACCCAGCAACACACACATACACACACAGTGCTAGCCAATTAAAATAAAATTGTTCTTACTACTTGATGTTACTAACCCAGAATAATTTAACCAACTTTGGTATGTGCATAAATTTTACAGTACATGTACTTCAATAAAAGCAACATTACAGATAAATTTATAAAAGAATTCAACATACAGCTTCTCTACATTGCTTTAGAACTACTACACTATTACCAAAAGCTAATAAACATGATATTTTAGAGTTATGTAAACCATACACTCTAAAATACCTTTATTTGTACATATATTAATAGTTTGTTATATCATCCATACAATCATTTTTTAATCTACATCAAACACAAAAAGCTATTCCAAACAACTTCCTTTCTTTCTAATAAACAAACTCCTAAAGAGAAGAAATTTGAGAAAAAACTCTCAAGTTTGTGAAAACTAGATTACTTACCAGTAACTTGAGTTCTCCTATTGGGTCTTTTCCCTCACAGATCCACAGATCTCTTGCCCTTCTGTCCAGCAGGAGAATCTTCCTGATGGGCCTCCACAGGAACTGAGGGGCATGCAGTACAGACGCACAGGTGAGAACGTAGTGGGGAGGGGTTTGGAAGAAGCTAGAGACATGCTTCAGTGCACTTGCTTACCTTCCTGACATTGGAAATTTCAACGGTTCCTTGGTCCTCGAGGCATTCACAATAACTTCAAAGAATGTGGATCTGTGGAGATTACCCAATAGGAGAACTCCAGTTACTGGTAAGTGATCCAGTTTTTTCTTCTCTATCAGAATAAGAAGGTTATTTAATTTTATTATTAGTACATGTAGAACTAAAGGGGAAAGGCTGCAAATGAACAGATATATGCATACACAAAGGTAAATACAGAAACAATTTGCTAACTATAGTGTCAACAGAAACTTCTGTCATTATCAGAAACACAAGGAGGGCTGAGGAGTTAGCTCACTGGTTCCACCACCTATCCTGCAAGAGGAAGGACCTTAGTTTGATCCCTGGTACCAAAAAAAAAAAAACAGAAACACAAGGAAAAGAAAAAGATTTGAATGGCTTCATCTTTAAATGTCCATCACAATGGCAGTTCTATGTTAACATAAAACAAAAACATACCAACTAACAAACTATTCCATTTCACTGAAACTTCACCATTACATTTTATATTAGTACAATAATAGTTGACTGAAATCTGCCATTTCTTAACTAGCTATTGTTCACTGAATTTTAGCATTCACTCTGGTGAGCTATTAGACTTCAGATTAAAAGAAAACAATTCCTATTTATCATCAGATAAGTCTTTTAAACAACTATTTTTACCTATTAACAAAACAACCATGCATACACATAAAAGTATGTGAGCCACTCATAAATAATGTTTAGTATAACTTAAATACTTGTACAAAAGAAAGAAATGATGTTTAATAAATTTTTAAGATGATCACCTAAAAATGGACCTGCCATTTAAAGAAAAATTTTTAATCAAAAGGAAAAAAAGGGCCATGGATTTAGCTCAGTGGTTCTGCCGCCTGCCTCGCAAGCGGAAGGTCCCAAGTTCGATCCCCGGTACCAAAAACAAAAAAAAAAGGACAAAAACTTCAACAGAATTTTCTTATCTTCAAATTTGTGAAGATAAAAAAAAAAAATTGTGAAGATATAGTATTTTTAACTTAATATATATTAAACATGTTTATGTTAATGTGCCACAATAATGACTTCAAACATTAATACCTATATTTGTAGGTATACTAGATAGCTCAGAACTTCATCATATACTATTAAACATATACTATCGTTAAGAAATTTATGTTTTCATGATTCTTCATTCATTCATGATTCTTTTATACACAATGAAAATATGTACAACTTTTCCTTTAAGAGTAAATAGGTCATGGGCCAGGGATGTAGATCAGTGGTGCAGCACCTGCCTGGCAAGCACAAAACCCTGAGGTGGACTCCCAGTACCAAAAAAGAAAAAAAAAAAAGAGTAAAAAGGTTGATCCCCAGTACCGGAGGAGGGGGAGTAAACAGGAAAAGCCAGGCATGGTGGCATACACCTGTAATCCCAGCACTCGGAAGGCTAAGGCAGGAGGACCGCTTCAAGTTTAAGGCCAGCCTATGCTACATAGTGAGTTCAAGACCAGCCTGAACTGCCTTGGGAATAAAATGGTTATAAAATCATTATTCCACAAAAAATTCAAAATATAATTTTTTTTGGTACCAGGGATCAAACTCAGGACCTTGCACTTGTGAGGTAGGCAGAGGAACCACTGAGCTAAATTCCTGGCCCTCAAAATGTAACTTTAAGAAAAATCTTACATTTCAATCTTTGTTATGAGATAATATTTGTATTTAGTAAAGGCTGACGGCACATTTGTCATCATTTTTGCTATATTCCTATTTAATTCTAAGATATAAATTGCATTAGATAAGTTAAAATCTGCTTTTCTGTAAATCTGAGCTTTAGAGTATAATAATAAATATAATCATCTTTAAGTGTCTCAAACAAGGGTAATCCACTGCCATGGTCTGATGTGATCTGGGTGTTCTACCACCACCCCTCAAGGGTTCACTGGAAACTTAGTCCTCAGAGTGGCAGAACCTTCAGAAAAGATTCATGGCAAGAGTATGTTGCTAGAAAAAGATGAAGACTGGGTTCCAACCCATGCTGGGCTCTGTATCCCACCCTTCAGGCCCAGGAGCCAGGCCCACTTTCTGCAGGGCCCCCAGGCCCTGCTCCAGGGCCAGGCAGACCTGACTCACTAGCTCTTCATGGTGAACTTCCAAAAGGTGGACCAATCAGGAGGGCACTATGAAAAGGGAACAACACATTGATGGAAGAAGTAGTCACACTTGAGAAAATCCACCTGGACACGTGAGTGGCCTCTGTATCAGGGAGCTCCTAGATTTTTCCCTTGACCTCAACAGAAGCACAGCCATCTAGGGACCAGCAGGTGGAATGGGGGGTGGGAGATGGACCATGGAGGATTTCCCTGGAGGGAGTACAGGGGACTGTAGAACACACAGAAAACTTCCTTTCCATACTGAACTGCATGATGTCCCAAAATGTGCAACCAGAGACTCAGGAAGAGGAAGGAAGTCCAGTACTCTCCAAGGGATGGAGGTATGTGGGAATCAGAAAGGGGGATAGACAGGGAAGAAAGGGAAGAGAAGAAGGAAGAGACTACTATAGAAACAGGAGCAGTAATTCATATATTTTTCCCTAATGGTATCAGCTAGGATAAAAGAAATAAATGACAGAAATTAAATGGTAATTTCCTATTTTTATAGCAAATGCAATCACTGTTTAGATTTGAGTGTTATGAACTTAAAACAAATCAAATGCATCCGAAAAACAATGTAAGAGAATTAAAACATCTCGGGAATACTTTACGATAACCAAAGGCCACTAAGAGACTGACACTGAAAGCCACATTTTGTTATCATTCCATAAACTCAACTAAGATGGATTTTATCAGAATAGCTTAGAAAAAAATTCAAAAATCAGCAAACTCTATTCCAAAATATCCTGAATGAACACTAATAATTATCATGTTCATCAACAAAAGGCAATCTTTAGCAATCAAAACCCAAATCAAACATTTCAGTAATGAAAAGCTACTCCATAAAATCCATCTGAATTTATTTTTAAAAATGGTTTAGGGCCGGGGATTTAGCTCAGTGGTGCCACCACCTGCCTTGCAAGTGCAAGGTCCTGAGTTTGATCCCCAGTACCAAAAAAAAATTTTTTAATTTAAAAAAATAAAAATTAGGGCTGGGGATTTAGCTTGGTGGTGCCATTGCCTGCCTCACAAGCATAAGATCCCGAGTTCAATCCCCAGTACCAAAAATAAATAAATTAAATAAATAAATAAATATTTTTTAAATGGCTTAGATTACAATGTAGTACCCAGTTTCCCTGCCCTGGACATTACAATTGGTTTTGATGAGTTCAGGCATACTATTTCTAATTTTCAATTAAGATTTAAACTTCTCATGTTAGGTATTACTGCTACAGAAATTTCTTCTTCATGTAAATCCTTGATTTGGAATTCTGTTAACAGTATAATAAACTTTAGTATTATACATATATCTGCACATATTCAAGTGATATTATTGACAGTTCATATGTAAATGAGTAATATATATGAATACACAGATAAAACTGCATTAAACCTCAACCAAAATAAGGTAAAAAATATTATAAACTTACCTACTGAATAATGTTATTCACAGAAACTGTCTTTTTAGCTCTTTCCATTCATCAGACAGTTTGTGTATAGACTCTCTCATTATCTGATTTTTCCAATCTAGACTGTCCCTCCCACTATCATCCACAGAGGAAAAGCTCTAGAGAGCATATTAGTTACAAAAAGAAATTATAAGATTGGTTCTTTGCTTTGTTTTGTACATTTGACTAAAATGTATTGAGTTTATTGTGCCTTTTATTCCTATTTAGTCCCATGTTCTCTTACACAAATTTCCCTCAGGGTAACCAAATTATAAATTCTATCTCATTTCCTCATCAAAATTTTCCTATCCCTCAGTTTATTCCACTACTTCTTCCTATACCAACCCATAAATAAAAACGGTGCTATTTCCTGATTTACTCAAATTAATCTAAAATCACAATAGCAAAACTACATTCATCTATAAAACAGGATAACAACAGAACTTATTTCTGTTGTAAGAGTTGTAAGAGTTAACTGAATTGATGCAGGCTGAGACACTGATATCAAAGCTGTTGTGAAAAGCTAAAAGTAACAGATGCTAAGTAGGTAAGATCTGGTTCTCCAGAACACCTGCTCTAGCCAGAACAACTCCCTGTTTATCTATTTTATATTTTAGGTTCTGCTCATAAGTCTCTGGCTTCAAGAAAGAATCCTTCAATAACAAAACAAAATAATAAAAAGTTTTAAATATTAAAGGACAGTGTAGCAAGCAGCCTCTAAAACAGTCCACAATACTCCCACTCCTGTAGTGAGGTCCTGTATAATCACCTCCTGAGTATGAGCTAAATTTAGTGACTCATTTCTCAGGAAAAGAATTTGGCAGAAGTAATGGGACATCACTCCTAAAGCAGTTAAAAGACAGTGGTTTCCATCTACCTCACCGTCTTTCAGATATCTTGCTCTGGGGCAAGCAAGCTGCCATTTCAGAGTAGCCCTATTAGGGAGGCCCACATGGCAAGAAGTTGAAGTGTCTGGCCTATAGCCAGACCTGGCAAACCTGCCAAAGCCATGTGAGTAGTGTATAACTTGGAAGCAGGTGCATGAAGGCCTAATGATAACCACATGAATGAGCTCGGGGTGGATCTTGAGCCCTGAGATGACTGCAGCTCTATGTAACACTGTGACTGCAGCCTTATGAGAGAAGACAACATAATTATAATATTAAAATTAATCTGACCATATTTTGAAGCCCTGTACTAGTTTTTGGATCAATTCTTAATGATATTCCTAAAATATAAGTGCATAAAACTGCTCTTATGAAACAAATTTTTCTAATGTCATAAATATCAATACAGACTCAACTCAACAATGATAGTTACTATGACAACTGAAAAGTGGCTCTATCTCATTTTCTTTCCTTTGAAGAGAACGTTAATTCCTTTTTATTTCCAATGAATAAATAAACTTTTAAATAGCTATCCCTCTATTACATTTCACCATGCTCATGTTAATCATCCAACTTTAATCAATTCCACTGTT